CCTCTCCTGTCGGACCATTGTCTGATAACCTTTGAATTTCTACTATCAGAACCACCTCCTCCTGCCAAGGGTTTCTACAGTCGACGCTTATCGGATACCGCTGTAGCCTTATTTAAAGAAGCCATTCCTTCTGCTCTAAGTTCAGTGCCCTGCCTCGAGATACAAGAAGAGTGAGAACCTCAGTCCATCCCAGATCGATAATTTTGTTGATAATGCTACAGGCTCTTTGAGAGTGGCGCTGGATGCTATTGCTCCTCTGGAAAGAAGAATAGCAACAAGAAGGAAGTCTGCTCCGTGGTATAACCCTCAAACACGGAACCTAAAGCAAACTGTGCGGAAACTTGAACGATTATGGCGTTGCACCAAATCAGAAGGATCTAGGCTAGTTTGGCAAGACAGCCTTAAAACGTATAAGAAGGCTCTCCGTAACGCAAGAGCATCTTATTACTCATCATTAATAGAGAAAAATAAAAACAACTCCAGGTTTCTCTTCAGCACTGTAGCCCGACTGACAGAGAGTCACAGCTCTCTCGAGCCGTGTATTCCTTTGGACCTCACTAGTAACGACTTCATGAACTTCTTCAATGATAAGATTCTGACTATCAAAGAGAAAATTGATGGTCTCCTGCCCTCAACCAGTGCCGACCTGTCCTCCGATGTAGGAACCTTGGATGCAGCAGTGAGCCCTGATGCCTGTTTGGATGCCTTCTCTTCCATCAACCTTGATCAACTGACTTCTTTATTTTCAAAGTCTAAATCTTCTACTTGTTTCTTGGATCCGATTCCGACCAAACTGCTTAAGGAAGTTTTTCCTTTAGTTAGCACATCCTTATTAGATATTATGAATCTGTCTTTGTTGACAGGACATGTACCACAGTCCTTCAAGGTAGCTGTAATTAAACCTCTTCTTAAGAAACCTACTCTTGCTCCAGAGGTGTTGGCTAACTACAGACCTATCTCTTATCTTCCCTTCCTCTCTAAGATCCTTGAGAAATCAGTCGCAAATTAATTATGTGACTTTCTACAAAACAATGCTTTGTTTGAGGATTTCCAGTCAGGATTTCGAGTGCATCACAGTACAGAAACAGCACTGGTGAAAATTACGAATGATCTTCTACTTGCATCGGACCAAGGACTCATCTCTTTTCTTGTCTTGCTGGACCTCAGTGCCCCATTTGATACAATAGACCATTGTATCCTGTTGCAGAGACTAGAACATTTAATTGGTATCAAAGGAACTGCACTCAGCTGGTTTAAATCCTACTTATCGGACCGATCCCAGTTTGTGCTTGTAAACGGTGAATCCTCAAAGACCACCAATGTTGGTCACGGAGTCCCACAAGGTTCTGTACTTGGACCGATTTTATTTACCCTCTATATGCTTCCTTTGGGCGATCTTATCAGGAAACACCGCATAAACTTCCATTGTTATGCAGACGATACTCAACTGTATCTGTCGATCAAGCCAGAAGAGACGGACCAGTTAGTTAGACTTCAAGAATGTCTTGGAGACATAAAAACTTGGATGACGGGCAACTTCCTGATCCTAAACTCAGAAAAAACGGAAGTTATCCTGATAGGCCCAGAGCGCCTTCGAAGCCAGCTGTCACGTGATACAGTTTTTATGGATGGAATTGCTCTGGTACCCAGCAGCACCGTCAGGAATCTGGGAGTTCTCTTCGACCAGGATAGGACCTTCAACTCGCATATAAAGAAGACTGAAGGACTGCCTATTTTCATCTACGTAACATATCAAAAATCAGGAACTTCCTGTCTCAAAGTGATGCAGAAAAATTAGTTCATGCGTTTGTCACTTCCAGACTGGACTACTGTAATTCTTTGTTATCAGGCTGCTCTTGTAAATCTCTTAAACCTCTCCAGTTGATTCAGAATGCTGCAGCACGTGTATTAACAAGAACTAAGAAAAGGGATCATATCACTCCTGTATTAACTTCTCTGCACTGGCTCCCTGTTAAATCAAGAATAGATTTTAAGGTACTTCTCCTCACCTACAAGGCACTTGCTGGTGAGGCACCGTTGTATCTTCAAGAGCTTGTAACACCGTATTGCCCTACAAGGCAACTGCGCTCCATAGATGCTGGGTTACTTGTTGTTCCTATGGTTTTAAAAAGTAGGCTGGGGGCCAGAGCCTTCAGTCATCAAGCTCCTCTTTTGTGGAACCAGGTTCCACTTTCAGTCCGGGGGGCAGATTCAGTCAGCTCTTTTAAAGTAAAACTTAAAACGTTCCTCTTTGATTCTGCCTATAGTTAGGGCTTGCTCAGGTTAGTCCGGACCAGCCCTTAGTTAAGCTGCTATAGGCTTAGAATGCCGGGGGAATTCTTAGGACACACCGAGCTCCTCTCTCACGCTCTCGTTCTACCATAATTCAAGTTTTATTAATGCACATGACTAATTCAGCTTCTTTCCGGGAGTTTTTTTTTGTGCTTTCTCCCCTATCAGGTCTCCGTAGATCGTGGTTCCTTCGGGACCCTGGTCCTGACACCTACCGTGGCCATGCTGACGCCTGCTGCTGCCATCATCATCATCATCATTATTTTAGATATTAATCATATTACTGTATTCATAAACCGACATTACCCTCTCCTAAAGTCTCTGTGCTCTCCCTCCCCACAGGCTTCTGTGGATGGTGGTTCTATCTGATGGTGGTTGCCCCTGCAGTGGTCCTGCTGTGCGCCTGGCTTACTACTCACAATTACTTGAATCATTTCTGTCATAGGAATTGCATGTATTATACATTGTTCATTCTGTACACATGGCATCCATTGTAGTCTGTCCATCCCGGGAGCGGGATCCCTCCTCTGACGTTCTCCCTAAGGTTTCTTCCCTTTTTTCCCTCTTGTAAGGGTTTTTTCATTTTTTGGGGAGTTTTTCCTGTGCCGATGGTGGGTTTCGGGGCAGAGGATGTTGTATGTGTACAGACTGTAAAGCCCTCTGAGGCAAATTTGTAATTTGCGATTATGGGCTATACAAAATAAAATGAATTGAATTGAATAGATGACAACCAGCTATAACCATCATTTACCATCATTACCGGCATATTAAGAGCAATGCGTCCAGCTCGCAGACCGGTCCGTCAGTCTGAATCTGAATATCTTGCCAACTTTACCGAACTATGGAGGAGCCTGCGCATATCTTACCTCATTATTTTGATTTTCCAAAAAGTCGATCCGTATTGAAAGTTGGCAAGATATTCACAGATTTGGACTTTTTTCGGGTATTTTACAAATACGGACCGGTCTGAGACTAAGAGCAGCTTTTTCTTCATTTAAAAGAAAAATCATTGTTGATAGAAAAAATTAGAGAAGGTAATTCATCTGTTGATTTTCTTTAATTATCAAATAAAGTAGGAAGTGATTAGCAACCTCTGAGTAGCAAACTCAGATTTGAGAAAATTTAGAAAATCGAGATGCATCAATAATCATTTTAGAATCGAATCGTTGACCTCTGAATCAGAATCGAATCGTGAGGTGAGATTCCCACCCCTATATTTTACCCAAGATAAAGATGTACTTTTATACAAAGTAAAAAGTATTTACTATTCCATCGAAGTCAAGGTTTTTACTTTAGTGTAGTTAAAGTTCCCTAATTTTGTTACAGGCAAATTTATTAGCTTTCATCAAGTCAAATTTCTCATTCAGTACAAACTAAAATGTATAATTTTATTACAGGCAAATTTATCAGGTTTCATCAAGTTAGATTTCTCATTCAGTACAAACTAAAATGTATAATTATACCTTAATTTATAAATGGAGGAAAATTCTCTTCAAAAGACCTTCAGGTTTACTCGTCTTCCCCGAGGTACAGAATGATGCACTTCAGCAGACACTCCCTTTTCAGATTCACATGAAGGCTCTGCAGTGCAAACACAGAAAAATGTTTCTGCCCGCTGCACCGCTGATCCTGAGTTGGCAACACTGGTTCAATAAAGACATAACTCTGTTCAGGACTTTTCAATCGTCACTTATCACGACTGCTACATAATAAAAACCACCCAGATATGTTGATTTATCTAGGACTCTGAAATACCGAACATAATTTAGACCTCTACATCAGACGTCCCTGTTCCTCCCTGTTCATGTTGAGGTGTGGAGTAAGTGGGTGCAAGTGTCCGAAACTTTTACAGTTCGGTAAAGTTGGCAAGATATTCACAGATTCTGGCTTCGCGCTTCGTTAGCTAGAATAGCTCATCAGCGAGACGTTGTAAAAACACAAACCCCACTTCTCTGTGACCGTAGTGGCGTCAACCACCAGCTGAGAGGAGCCTGCGCATGCGCATATCTTAAATCATAATTTTGACTTTCTAACCCTTCCATCTTTTTTTGTGGCGGAAATGGGCTTCCATAGAAAACATACATTTCTCTGTAGTCCTGCGGAAAGTGTTCAGCTTCACGAAGCAGCTTAGTAAATACGACGGGCAAAATAAAGGATGATTTGGTGACGTCATTTAGTCACGTGACATGAAAACCTCTGGTTAAAGCAAAAAAGACACTTTAGGTAAAAGTATTGCTGTTCATTTACTCTGAGGGGGGTATGTTTTAGTTTCAGGCAAACTGAAAAACCCTGGTGTGAACCAAAAATTACAATTTTCACTTGAACAAATTCACTTTAAGTAAATGACACGAAGCTTTACTTTTCACATGTTGAAGAATACAGGATCGAGGTACGCATGCGCAACATGTTTTTTGCTTGTCCGCAATGAATGGACGGTAAAAGCGCTGCGTATTCTACCATTTCTTTGTATTTGATTATGCGCAAGGCTGCATTCGTCATAGTAACATCTAAGCAATTGGAATAACACACATATTGCATCTAGAAGAATAAACAGTAAAAATACGAATACAACTTTATTAAATACAATTATGCATTTTTATGTTTGAATTTTGGTTCTGTTATTTTTTGCGAGATCAACATAAGCTGCTATATACAGAAAATAAATACAAACTTTGAGTGTGTATGCATTACAATGAAAAACAAAGAAATTCTCCTTTTAAGTTTATTAATCAGCGAAAGGGTGTAAAGAGTACAATATCTGAGTTCATATACAATAACTCAACTGACGAGACTGCATGCGTGCGGAGGTCACTTGGACAGAGCTGCCAGCTTCTTGTGCCTGCAAGCTGCTCCAGACCTCTTGGCTTTAGGCTTCGACAGGGCCCGTTGGGATACACGTTTGCCTCGACTCTTGGCATTAGACTGACGGCTGGAGAGGCAAAACAGACCGATAAGTTAAGACTTGTAAATATTGAATACTATAGACAGACGCAACGGTGGCACATGGAGTAGAGTGTTAAAATGGCTGCTCCATGTCGAAGTGTCCCTGAGCAAGACACTCAACCCCTAATTGCTCCCCGGCAAAATGTAAAATCATGGGTTAATAATGCAATGTAAGTCGCGATAAAAGCGTCAGCTAAATGGCATGTAATGTAACACATGCAACACTAAACTCACTTGATCCTGTGTGTGTCTTTGAGAAGGCACGCTTTGCGCTTGTGCTCCAGGCTGCCACAGTTGAAGCAGCCCTTATCCCCTGGACCGTCTCCACATGGGTGGTCAGGGAGGGCACAGCGGCCGCAGTGCTGGCAGTGTCTCCAGGCTGGGAGGGACAACAAAGAAACATGCGCATTAATCAGAGACAATGGATACGAGTTGGTCTGACAACTTTAGCTAGTCTTCATCTAATGTGTTGAAATTTACGCACATGGTTTCACACATTTCTCACACGTAGAGCAGTGCTTCCATTCTCGGCCATCCTGGAGACAGAGAAGCACAAGTTGTAACTTCTGTATTTATGAGAGACAAAAATGACTGCTTGTGTTTTATACCTTGGATGGACAAATATTGCATTTAGCACAGTGCTTGTTGAGGGATATGACGAATCTCTGACACACAGAGCAGAATCTAAAAAGGAGAAAGAACAAGACCTGAGACATTTCCTCGATATGAAGCGTTGTCAAATTGGCCATTTTGTCCATAAGCCAGGAACACATTAAGTTGTTGTTGTCTTGTATTAGAACAGTCACGAGCGGTTTAAACTAAAGAACAAAAGATTTTGATCACTTGTCACTTCAGCAGGTGGCTGTTTATAATTTTAATCTATGACATTGATTTTTTTTGGCATTGAAAGCAAATGGTATTGTACTGAAGAGGTCATGAATGAGGATAATTTATTAGGATTAAAGATATCCATCTAAAAGTGGATTCATGCAACAATGTAAAATCTGTGAATGCAACAGAAAAATTCTACTTTCCTGGCGTATTTGTGATGCTTCTAAAACTAAAATGACGCCTCCCAGTTGTATGCGTCCACCATACATACATTCCTTCCTAAAAGTCATTCCTACTTCATTTTATCCAATTAGACCTTTGAATGAAATTTCCGTGACTAGGGCTGCACGGTATGGCCAAAAATCCGTATCACGGTATTAAAGATTCTGACTGTATCCCGGTATAGCTTTTTTCAAACACATTAATTCATTAACCCCGAAAAGGACCAGGCCGCCCACTCGCAACGGGCGAGTTAGCTAGTTATGGTGTTAGCGAGTTAGCGTGTCAGCTTGTTGTGGCTCCCCGAACAACTGTTCGCCTCTGCTTGCTAGCCGGCTCTTTAGCTTGTTAGCTCGTTAGCTGCTAGTGTTGCCACCAGAGACTCAGCAGACTTTGCAATAAAAGACACTTCTTGTTGTGAGCTGTTCCCAGCATGCAGTTTGGCGGGGTCATTTTTATAAATGTATAATTATTAGTGTTACAAATTGTTTGTGTCACAAGCTGTTAGAGTGTTTGTTGTGGGATATTCATTGTTATAAAGATATAACCATGACTCAAACACACATAAGACAAGTAGCTCCGGCCGCTGGGTGCTCCGTGATGACGTGTAAAAATAAATTCCGCCACCCGCCGAAGAGCAACGTCAGTTGTTATGGAGTAACACCGGTATCAATGGTACGTGAGAAATTTATACCGTACGGAAATCTTATACCGGTATACAGTTTACAGCCCTACCCTTGACCACCAAATTATAATCAGTTGATCTTTGACAAAAGCAGAGAAGAAAGCCGCGCTCAAACAAAAGGACAAAGATAATACATCAGTATGTACAATGTGCATTGTACATACTTTTATCATTAAAGGTGTTTGCAACAAATTTCATTATCGATTTGTTGTGTCGCGCGATTATTATGTCACTCAAGGAGTTGCGGAGATGCGTGTGGATCAAAAAAAATAAAAGCGCCCAATTAGAGGAAAGAGCAGCAAGCAGCGCCGGCAGTTTGAGTCACATGGTGCAAGCTGAGAAGTCTGTTCGCCCAAGGTGTTTGTGCATTTCAACCTAAATAAACTAAAGTAAGTACGTCAATGCCAGAATATTACAGGTCATTACATTACATTACAGGTCATGTAGCAGACGCTTTTATCCAAAGCGACTTACATTACACTTTAAACCCATGGCTTTTTCACATTTTTGCCCGGGGAGCAATTAGGGGTTAGGTGTCTTGCTCAGGGACACTTCGACATGGAACATGGGGCAGCCTGGAATCAAACCAGCAACCTTGTGCTTCCCAGCACGACTTCTCTAACCCCTGCGCCACGACGACCCAATTCAGAATATGAGTCATCCAGGTGAACAGGTTGGGGTTTGCTTGCAAATAACAGCAGTAAAGCAGTTACGACTAAAAACCCGTTTTTATTTACGCGCCTTTTTAGATCTTTAATTTTTCAATCTGTTGTCATGTATATATATTTTGTGCTTTGTCCCATGGTTATAGTTGACAAATATATTTGTATGTGTTGTACTTTTTAATTCCATTTTAAATTAATCTCATAGCACCATTTTTACCTGTATTTAGCGTGGTGTATGCATTTACTTGCACTACAATGATGTATGAATAATTTAATGAATACGCTTCATGTGAACATGGGGAGGTGTTTGAGAGTGAGTGTAAAGTTCTGAGGTTAAAATAAATCCAGTTAAATTTTCTGATTTGTATTTCTTTTTCCTATTAATTATTATGTTAAAGGAGCAACCTGTTTATGGACTAGTTTTGCTATGACAATTTGCAATTATGTTTTAAAATAAAGTGTTGTAAATGAAAGCTTTTTTTATATGCCGTTTTTTTTTAAACCCAATTCATTGATGAATCGAAAAAATAATCAACTGATTATCAAAAATCGTCAGTTGCAGCCCTAGTCTCTAACTTAGCGTAATTTCCAGACTATAGAGCACATCTGAATATAAGGCGCACCACCTAAATTTAGAAAGAAAAAAAAATATATATGCCGCATGTGTCCACATTGTAACATATATGTAACAGATATTTACACAGAATAATGAATTCCAAGAAGTGCCTGTAACACGGCGCTTGTTTTGGCTTTCAGTCGGATCTGCACGAAGGAAACCATCTGCTCTGTGTTTTCTACCAAGTGCTTAACCATGGTTTAGACATTGGGGGGGTGGTCCAAATTAATTCCCTTCCCCATAATTTTTTTTAAAGCTGCTATTGGGCTGGTGTAGTGTAACAGTGATCCAGAATCCAAGGACAATAACTAAGTTGTCCGGGTTGGTCCGCTCCACATGCTGTATCTGGTTGGAGAGTGTCCGCTGTTCCTCGTGCACGTTGCCGGCCGGCGGCATGTAAACACCGACCAGGATGAATGAAGCGAACTCACGGGGGGAGTAAAAGGGTTTACAGTTGAAGATGAATAACTCCAGATCAGGAGAACAGTGTTGTTGCACTCCAGCCGGTCTGGTATCGATCCACAAAGCCAGGTCTCCGTGAAGCACAAAACGGAGGATGTAGAAAAGTCTGTCTCCTTACCAGCAGCTGAAGTTCATCCAGTTTGTTGCTCAGTGAGGCACGTTGGAGAGAAAGATGCCCGGCAGCATTGTGCGAGAACCACGCTTGCGGAGTCGTTTTTCACATTGCCATCACGTCTCGGTTTCCTTCTCCGACAGCCAGATTGGTTGCCCGTAACTTAAATGCTAAATCATATGCATTCCTACGTGTATTTTCCATGACGAGTGTTTGAATATGATGCGCAAAATTATCTCGCTGTCGCGCATTAGCCCGTAAAACATTATACATTAGCCGCAGGGTTCAAAGCGTGGGAAAAAAGTAGCGGCTTATATTCCGGAAATTACGGTAGTGATTATAGACCCAGATCTGAACATACCCTGGTATGAACATAGTGATAGGGCTGCACAAACAATACAATTTTAATCGCGATCACGATTTTGGCTGCCAAGAATAAATAAGCATGATCATCAGCAATATTGACATTTAAAATGCGCGCACTGCTACATATCAAATCAAATGCTTTCTCAATTAACAGTCAGCCAATCACAAGGAGGGGAAACAAGGTGGGAGGAGTCATGCACATTTCCCACAACGGCAGCCTCAGAGAAAGCGCTGTCGGGTCGTGCCCCCCCGAAAACTTTTTGGGGATTTTTTCAGCCACGGCAGTTCCACACCGACGCAAATATGTGTGGCGTTCGCAGCAGGTGCCCGACTAATTTGCCCCCCCTCCCCGGTCCGCCGAACCGTTTGCCCGACTACTGCCCGATTATGACCGTGGCCATAATCTTGCAGCCCAACATACAGTAGTTATACAGTTTTTCACTATGTCTGTGTGCACTTTACCCTTTGCGGACGTAATCTTGTGAATTTCCCACGTGCAGGTCAAATAAAGGATTATCATCTAATTCTAGACTAACATCTGACATGGCAGGACTCATTACTCTGAGAATCAGTGTGTACCTGTATCCCTCATCTTTTGGCAGGACGATGTCTCTGGGGGAGATGTTGGTGAACACTCTGACAGGAGACTGCTTCCTGCCCGTCTTCCCGTGTTTGTACAGAGGATGGTTGTCATAGTCCACCTGGAAACCAACCAAACACGTACGTCATCTTTTGGAGTAGTTAGAAAAAGGTAGACACAGAGGAAGCCAAAGTCATCAAGAATTGCATGTTTCTCATGAGGTTCTTTAGATATTGAAGTTAAACTGCTGGGTAAGCCCGAGATGCTGATACACAATGATCACTAGGGCTGCAACGATTAGACAGACAATTTTTCATAATCGACATCGTCAATTACGTAATCGCTTCTATTGTATACATGTACCAAAGAAAAGAAGAAGTTTATCAAGTTTAATGTGGGAGGGTCGAAAAAGTCAGTATTTCAGCAGCGAACCAAAACAGAGTTGTTGTTTCACAGCATCATCCCGGCAACGCAGACATTTAAAACGTGCTGGAGCCACCACGTCTTCTCCGCATGGCCAAGTTTAGCTAACTAAAGTAACGCTAGCTTTGTTAACTTATCGTAAGGTTTACGCGTTGGAGAACAGAACGTCTCGTGGAGGACGCTTGCTAATGCTATTATGTTAAATGCAATGTGGTAAATCTGTGAATTATTGTAGCCGGTCTTCTCGTTCGTTCTGAATAGTTAATGTTAACCTCCACTTTGCACTCTTCAAACAAGATTGTGGAAAAAAAAGGCCTAAAACGTGATAATTAAAGCTCTGTTTTTGTCTTTCAGTACTATGCAAAGGCGCGTACACAAGATTGTCCTTCAGAGCCTCAGATGAAGGAGTCTGGACCGAGAACATCCTCGTCACTTGCAAAGACTTTATTGCTATTTGGAGTTACTTTTAAAACTTTATTTGCACTTTCGCTTTACTTTTAAATGGATATTTGCACTTACATGTTGCATTACTATTCAATGGATTTATTATGATGATTACATTTGTATTAACCTGTTACGTAAATGCATTTGAAGTTCGAATTCCAAAGTTATTGGATGGAAATAAATGGTCACACGTTGTAACCAAAAGGAATACTTGCCTCTCTGTTTCCACGCTCCTACACTGTGGTAAATAATCGTTAGATTAGTCGATTACAAAAATAATCGTTAGTTGCAGCCCTAATGATCAGCAGCTGTTCTCTGGAAGAAGTCTGACAATCTCAAATTTGACCGGATATAATGAATATATATCCATTACTTTAAACAAAATTTCCATGACCAAACATTTTGTGAAATCTCGGTGTATGTAAGAGTGAAAAGTGAGAAAATGTAGTATTAATGAATTCCAGCGTGCACGCACACAGACGCAAAAATCAGGCAAGAAAGTGTTTAAAAACCGTTTACAATTATCTGCTAGGGGCGGGTATGGTTTGGGTTTTTTCCCACCTAAACCAATACTTTTTTTTAAAGCAGAAAAACTATTAACGACATTTAAGAAATGTTTTTTTACCTCAATCTATGAACAATATAGCTAACATGCTGCTTGCCGTAGCAGTGGTCCTCTGATGGGGTTGCTGTAATAGCGTCGCTAGCAGCAGCGCTGATGTCTGCTTCGTTTAGCGTGGCTCGTTAACAGCGCTCTCCCATGTTGCGGTGCGGATCATTTGCGCTACGAGTGTGAGAGCGTGTGCCTCTTTATCGGTTGAGCGTCTTTTAAAAGCATATGACTTATCTTAAACTCCTCTTAAATGAATGACATGAACATATGTATATGACAAATTTCCATGACTTTTTTTATTTTTTTCCATGACTTGTCCTGGCCGGGAGATGACTGATTTTAAAATTCCAGGACATTCCAGGCTTTTTATCACCATAAAAACCCTGATTATTATTATTGCACTACTTTCTCTTTGAAGACAAGGTGCTTGAAATACTAGCACGGTTGTAAGATTTGGCAGGCAATGTTCCTATATCCTCAAAGGGGGCCCTGATTGGATACCACTTAAAGGGCAGCGACGTGGTGCCTCTGTGAATTTTGATTCTTCGCCAAAAACAAATGAGCTTATGTAACTTCACATGGCCAGAACATTAATAAGATACCTTCAACTAACTGTTGTTAACATTGGCTGTTAGCCAGCAGGCTGCTAAAAGCCAACTTTATTAGATGTCCTCCTGATTTCAACACAGATAAGAGAAGACAGTGTGCGTCACCTCAACATGTTCACAGGAAGTTTGACGCGTCCCGTCACGTTTTGGTTGCCGTTAGTATAGAAAAAAAGGGTGTTTGTGCAGCAGTTATTCTTGAGCGAGAAAAGCTCCCTTGCAGGTAGGGTACTACTTGACAGCAAAGTTCCAACGCGTTTCTATTCACATTTATCTGCTACGTATGTTTGTATCAAATAGGCCCTGGTGATGCATTGGCAGTTTACCTGGTAGTCCAGCATAGTGCATGAGGGGAGACACTGTAGGATGCGAGGCTCAAAGAAATATGGGAAGATCCACATCATGGGAATGTCAGCGTTACTGCAGTCTGCACACAACACCTTCTGGATGTTAGCTTCAAACATTTTGCACTAGCATTCATTAAAAACACAAGCAGCAGAATCTGTGAAATATGTGGGTACCGGTGCCTAAACAAACTCTGAACCAATACTTTTCCCTAGTTAGGAGTAGGGTATCGAGAACCTGTGCAATATTGGTACTAGTTCCTATAAGGCCGGTACCTACCGGACCGAAACGCAACACAGATTTCGGTACTTCCTTTCGGTGCCTGAGCCGATTGAAAAACGTTAACTTTATATATACGCTCAGGCATGAAAACGGGTCAAGGGTGAAAAAGGTGAGAAGGATATTACCCCTCTAGGGGTTTTCAACTGGTTTTGTCCCAGGGATCATTTTTTGCGTACCGACGAGGGGGTGGGAGAATTGACAACAACTAATAGGGGACAAGTCATTAAATACGCCGTCATGCGTATTTCATACGTCAAAATGCAGGTGGGCAGGTCTGCTTATTGATAGAACGGGGGACCACTTTACCTTCTGCCTCGTCAGTCCCCTCACCTCAAAATCTACCTCCTCAAAAACGGTAGCGTTAGCTATCGGAGCTTTAGCTAGCTGGCCAACGTCGCGTTCTCTCCTGCTGTGTTAAATGACTCAATTCATCAAGCTGTAGCTAACGTTAGCTAAGTCTATGTCAACAAAGCTCCTGGGTAACTTAACTTAGATATACCAGAAAATATTCAAATTATTGAAACCATCACTCACCCTGTTCGCAGTTCACTGAATATGAACACCCCCCCACCACCACCCCCAAAAAAAACTAATCGAATCTACACGATTCACGTAGGTCACCTACTTTGGTTTTAAAACGGCGAATTTCGCCGAAAGGTGAGGGATTTTCATGCCTGTACGCTACTCTGGTGGCTTCGTCCACAGGCAGATACACACAGGTGAGCACACGCTCAACTGTGGACAAAGCTTGCGTCCGCAACGCCTACCCATCCCCCCGAAATGTAAACCGTGCCTGTAGCGGCGTTCCTTCTGTGTTTTTCATCAAGCTGTAATTGAGCTGCAGACACAGTGACTTAATTTCCTCAAGTGAAGGGCAGGCAAGCGTTTGATTTTCGTTTTTTCGTCTTTATTTAACTAAATATAAAAATAATTGTCACAGGGTAAAAAACGATATGCTCTTGTGCCTAATGCAGATCTTCGGTGTTTAAAAAAAAAGAAAAAAAGAAAATAAGTTCAGCAACACAACACCGTTTGCGGTTCCGACGTTTGTGTAATTTACACAACAAATAAAGAGCAGAAATTGTGGATATTCATTTCCATGGTGGATAGGGGAAACGATTACTGTCTTTACGGAGACACGTAACAGAGATAAGCCACGTCCCCTTCCAGGAAAGAATCAAGCAAAAAAAAAAACTGGGACGCAAATAGAGCAAACCCGCTTTACTCGCTCAAGTTTACTCTCGTGAGTAAAGCCGGGCGAAAAAAATTTGCTTCGCTTTTGGTGTGAATGTACCATTAGGAGTTGATGGTTACCAAACTAGGGGAAGAGGGAAAAAGTGAATCTGGCCAAATACTAATGTTGCAAATGTATGTTCACTACTGCTACATAACCATTTTTAGAACCATCAATGATCTTCATACAATGATGACGTATCAATTCTCAGTACATCTTTTTCTACCGCAGACTGGTTGCCGTAGAAAGAGTTAACTGCTTTAAATAAAGGAGACCTCAACAAGTTTATTATGTCTTTCAACTGCTGTATTTGGTGTAGTACCCACACTTCAATGTCATCCATGTTTCACTGTTTTATGTTTCCTTACTTCAAAAAAGACTTTTCTCTTGTGGAGCCACAACGAAGAAATAGCAGGAAAAAAAAAAAAAAAAAAAGAACTCACCTGAATGTTGCAGCTTCCTCCATGTCTGTGAGATCAGTGAGAAGCTTTTGGCCAGTGGGGTCACCAGGCCACCGAACGGAGGGTCGGCCACCATAACCACTTTCTGGCCCTCGCTCTCTGTGAGGAAGGCCTGTAGCTCTGCACCGGACACCTGCCAACACAAAAGGCTGTTTGACACTGAAATGGAAAGCAAACATATGAAATACAGGTGGTCAACCTTACCTTTCCATCAAAGAAGTGATGGTTGAACATGTTGTAGTGACAGAATTCATTCTTGCTGTAGAACTGACTGTATCTGAAACAGTAGGAAAAAAATGATGATGAAAAATGATCTTATTCAGCAGTTTCAACATTCAGGAAGCTTTCACACAAGTTCTTTTTCAGGAAGAGAACAGAGCATGTTTGAACTTATCTCCTGTACTTAAACGCAAACAGTTAATCCTGAATTGTGAATCCAGTTAACAGAGGTGACTGCAGGCTAAAGATTGCACCAGAGAACACACCCTCTGCACTGTTAGCCTGCACATTCTTCAGAAACACAGCATAGACTGTTCTACAATGCAGACACCATGGCTGTCCTGCAGAAATTCTCAGCAGCTGCGACACCGGTGTTCAACCGGGCTCACAACCAGTTCACCGAGCCTCTGTTTCCTGCCATGCGCCTTTTGAGACCACTGGAGAACCAGGTGTGGCCAAATCACATGGAGCTCATACACATCAAAACACCATGATACTGCATTCCGCCATAGAAATATAGCATCACATCAAAGCAGGTGTACAGTCCAAAATAATAGGAAAACAAATGGGAGAAACCAACCTGTGGTCAATGTCCAGCAGCAGACTCTTCATCTGATGTTTCTGCTCAAGGTTTCGCAACTTGATCAGCTCCTGAAGTCTGGCCCAAACAGCAACAATCACAATGGAGTAAAAGTTAACAACAGATTTCTAACAGTGTTTTAAATCTTAAGGCTTTTTGTAATTTATGGCACTCATTGAAACTTCTGTGTATTCTCTGTAAAATGTTATTACTGAATAGGCAGAGGCCTTCATGCGTCCTTCATAAAGTCAACAATGACATTTTGGTAATTGCATGTCTTTTCATTTGTGCTACACATAAAAAATAAATAATACTGTAATATTAAACTATACTATTTGTGGAATAAGATGCCATTGGAAATGCATATCATGGTTTCAGAAACTGACTTGTAATGGTGGGGGGGTGCTGCTCTCATCGTTTCTCGTAATAGCGTGGAATTGTTTGACTCATGTGATTGAAGCTTTTCCAAATTACTCCAGGGTGTAAAGGCCATAATAACAAATACTGTACCTGAAATACTGTAGTGTGATAAAACATAATGCCAGTGCCAATACTGACATTTCTTACCCAATTTTCCGAAAGTATATTATACAATTGTCAGATATGACCATCTGGGACTAAACTGTCATGTAATAAAAGACTGAACGCCGTCTCATCACAAATATTAATTCGCCGCTTTCCGTTTTTACTTGTATGTCGATGCTGCAGTGAGGCTTTCATCTTTGGGAGGTGGAGTGTGTTTCATTGCTTAGCCACTTTTTCAACATGATTCATTGGGTCTGCTTTAAATAAAAGTTCTGGTATCTGTAAATGTAAAGCCCTCACCTTGGTGTGCCCACACACAGCACCTTCCTGAAACCCAGACCAGCCAGGGTGTCCAGCAGAAAGTTGGAGCTGCGGTCGGTGAACAGGTACTGCGCATTACTTTTCTTGTTGTCCAGCGGACGCAACAGCACGCTGGGCCGGCTCAGCTGAGCCGCGGAGACGGCCGTGGTTCTGTGAGACGAGTGGACCTCTCGCTCTCCAGGCAGGAGCAACGTTTGACAGTCCTGACAGAATTTCTTCTCATCCGGCGTGAGGGCGGCAAACTTTCTAAACCTGATGGACAATTGGAGAACCTTTTCATAGTCTGCTAACCTTTATGTATGACTGACTTTGATTATATAAAACATTACAACCATTTAAACAGTGTCATATGTCATCCTAGAGTGAATTCAAGGTAATAATTATGTGAATAGATACACCAATGCAAAAACAGGCTAAAGCCTAGTTTATGCTTCTCCGTTTTCAGAGCGACGCGCGGATGGCCTCAGATTCACGGAGGGAGATCGCCGCAAACGTCGGTTTGCCGGTCGAGAGGTGAACAAAGTTGTGGAGGAAAATACGGGGACAAATGTGTCCGCGATGAAAATCAGCAGTAGCGATGCACTAAAGGGGGCAATAAAGTCTATGATAAATAAATAAACAAACCAACGACGCACTTCAATTCATGGGTTCGAAAAGTCTTGGTGTGTGTTGCATGAGCAATTCACCACCAGAACAAGGTGGAGTAAACGTGTTTTCTGTTGAAGAACGACCTAGAGAGTCACGTCCTGTGTGGAAGTCGATGGTTTGTGTGTATTTATTTATCATAAGACTTTATTGGCCACGTGCATCGCCACTGGCTTCATCGCGGACACATTTGTCCCGATATTTTCCTCCACAACTTTGTGCACCAACCCGCTTCTACAAACCGCCAATGACGGCTTGTAGAAGCGGTCATATTTACGCATTTCTTCCGACAAAAGTTCTTCAATCTGATCCGTTCTCTCGTAAACATTCTACGTTTTAATAATGGCGGTATTGTTCTATGAAACCGGAAATGCGCGACTTCGTAAAGGATGTAGTTAGCAGACCAATCGCAGCCTTGTGCGCTGCGAGAGGCTTGAAAAATGGGTCGACGCACGCAAGGGACACGCAAGGGGGTCTTGCGTCTGCGTCGCTCTGAAAACGCAGAAGCATAAACTAAGTGTTAGGGGTTATTAAAGACTGTGCCTGGCTTCTTACCGGCCGCAGTTCTGCGTGGTGAACAGAGCTCTCTTTGACTGGTTCTCCGCTTCTCTGGCCAAACGCCTGGCCTCTGACACCTTCAAAGCAAACAAAGCTATTTTAGGGGATCATGTTTTACAAGTTGATATGAATTCCAGGGAGCCTACCTTGTCCTCTTCCCACTGGAAGAAGTTGCAGTCTTTTCTGTCTCTGCAGGCGGAGCAGGCATAAAACCTTCTGCCTTTCTCACCTCCTTTGCGAACTTTCTCGAAAAGCAAAGTTGGACCTAGTGACACACACGTGACGTGTTTCGGTTAACAGCTTCTTTAAACGTTAGCCTTTGTCGGTAGTGGATCTACTTTTGAAACCTGAAAGCAGACCAAAAACCACAGTTCGGGTCTCGTCTCGTGGCCGCGTGCCGCTGCTCGACACGTGAGGTAGACTTACCGTGGGGACAACATGGCGCTGCTTTGCCGCCCTCGGCAACAATCACTTCTAACCCACAGATTTCGTTGTCAGCTTCGTTAACATCCATGTCGTTACAAGCTTAGTTCTACTTTACTTTTTAACACACGACCTCAGCCTTACGAATGGAAGTCATGCCGTTTGTAGCAGTCGCGCAGATTTGACGTCATGAACAAATTCTTTTCTTTTTCGAGGTTTTTAGCAGGTGACATCCAACGTCACATTGCCGCCACCTACTGTACTGGAGTGTGGACTAGAGTTCCCTCTCCCTTTACAAAAGGGAACGCCCTAAATACGTTTAGTCACTCCTGATTCGTTCAGGATGTAATACCTGAGTGTCGCCGAGTGCGAAAAGTGGTCGGTGGCAGGTTACTTTGTCAGAACGTCAGGTTGCGTGGTCGGTGGTAGGATCTTCCCGTGGTCGGATCCTTTTTCAGAACGGCATAAGCCAATCTCAGTTGGGTATTTAGCAACATGCAAATACTATGTAACGTTAAATGAGTATATTTATGACCCTGGGTTTGCCCTATATGCTTTTTTCTAACTTTATTGACAATCTAGCAGATCACAGCAACTTGCAAGTAGCGCAGCTTCTTAAATAAAGTGATGTATGTCTTGATGCGGCTTTAGAAATGTTTAGAAAGAAATTTTGTATTTGCTCATAAAGTCTGAAACGGGTCATTTGAGCAATGTTTTGATAACCGATCGAAGCCAGCGGACAGAGAGCACCCGCGGACTGACTACTACCTCACCCGCGCCCCGGCCCAGCTAAACTGCTCTCCCGACCACTAGCCATCACTGGGTTCTATTTATGTATTTCGATACATATGTCCCAATATTGTTTTAGCGTTGCCATGCCTCTCTGATTATCGCCATGTTCCTATAATATCATAGGAAGGTGTCTACAGATTTAGCGACCTGCCGTTCATATCAAAGGAAGGTGGCGACAGATTTGGTGACCTGCCTATCGGATGATGGGAACATGGCGATAATCAGAGAGGCATGGCAACGCTAAAACAATATTGGGATATATGTATCGAAATAAATAAATACAACGAGAGCCCAGTGATGGCTAGTGGTCGGGCGAACGGTTTGGCTGGACCGGGGCGCGAGTGGGGTAATCAGTCCGCGGGTGCTCTCTGTCCGCTGGCTTCGGTCGGTTATCAAAACATTGCTCAAATGACCCGTTTCAGACCTAATAAATATAGAATCCTTTTCCCAGTGAGCACAAGACGGAATTTCAACGTTGAAATATGGTTGAAATCGGGTTGAAATGTTCAGACCTCATTTCAACGTCTTTTCAACCGGCTAAAAATGAAGATGTGGGTGAAACATCAACGTGCCAGTAAACGTCAATTTGTTGATAAATGTGTCATGTTGTAGCGTAAGGTTGAAAGAGAGATGATATTAAAGTTAAGATTTTCATAATAATTAATGAACTGGTCGGCGAAATTTGGTCCACGCGAAGACGTCATAAATATGAAACTACGGACTGCGTGCTGTTATAGGATGCTTTTAAGACATAGTAATGCAGGTGTTCTATCATTTTCTGCTACTTGTCGAGAACTGCTACTTGTGGTATTGCGCATGCGCCGAGTCTATTTTCCAAGTTTCCTTGACACGCCCATAATATTTTGCAACCCTGTCGGTGAACGGCGTGTTAACGGTGAGTAACATCCTCAAAATCCCGATTATTTCCTCTTTTGTTAAAAAGTACATTGAGCATGTAGATTGTACAATGACCGTTCTCTTCAAATTAAATATTAAATAATTGCATGGACTGTATATCCTTGCCTCGTGTCGTATTATCCGTAGTCCGTTTTCTATTTGCAGAAACATGGTAACAGCCACTAAAACCCCCTTTCTTCACACTTTTGGCTTATTTAAGATAAATAGCATATTTAGCAAATTTGGAATAGTTGCATGTAGCTTACTGTGTCGCAGGGACATGCACATGATTCTAGAGGGGCAGGGCTCACAGCGCGCAAACATACTGCCCAAGCTTTTTTCAGGTAGTAATAACATGTAGAATCTGCTACCCCTGATATAAATAAATTGTATTACACTTTTTATAATTAGACACATGAGAGAAAAAAACACTTACTGTATGCCTTTATTTGATGTACAGAGGTAGAAAACCATAAAGTAGATAGGGTAGCATGAGTCGATAGACAGAACCATCGATTTATGCGGCGGTAGCAATTCTCGACAAAGCAGCAAAAATCGACAGAACACGGGCAGTTTCAAACATTACTTGTAAACACGTAACTCTGCTGACATCTGTAACGCGCATGCACAAGTTCTTAGACGTTTGCAGAGCTTCGACCGGATGCAGCACACGGCGGCAGAGCGACATGAACGGGCTGATAAACAGTAGGGGCAAGTGCGAAAAGTGGTCAGTTCCTTTGACCGAATGGCAGGTTCCGGTGGTCGATGGCAGGTTCCCTTTTGGGAATGGCAGGTTGCGGTGGTCGTGTTAGGTTCTTCCGGTGGTCGGTGGAAGGATCCTTTTTCAGTAGGGACCCGCCCCCACACCCTGGCCAAACCGTTTGGCCGACCACTAGAAATGGGTTATCGTTAATTAGCATGCGCGGTCGATACATATGTCCCTTTATTGTTTTAGCGTTGCCATGCCTCTTTGATTATCGGCATGTTTCCATCATCCGATCGGCAGGTCGCAAGATCCGTCGCCACCTTCCTATGATGTGAACCGCCCCAGTGAGCATTTTTTGGTTGAAAAGATGTTTAAAAGACATCTATAGCCCGACCTTGAAAAGAGGTTGCAAATTGGTTTCAAAGTAAAGTTTTTTTTAGCGTCTATTTGTAGATGTTCAAAAGACGTTCACGTTTAGACCCGTTTTCAACGTGATTTATAATATCGGTGGTAAACTTACAAATGTGGACGTAGTTTCTGTTTAAACCTCTAAAATAATGAAATAGCACACTACGAATAGACGTTGAAAAAACGTTTCACTTTTTTTTCACGTCGGGCATAGACGTCTTTTCAACTAAAAAATGCTCACTGGGTTGTGTTAATTTCTAAAACCTCGCATTAAGACATACATCACTTTATTTAAGACGCTGCGCTACTTGCTACAAGTTGAAGCTATGATCTGATAGAATGTCAATAAAATTAATTCATCAAGTACATTATATTTGCATGTCGCTAAATACCCAACTGAGATTGGCTTATGCCGTTCTGAAAAAGGATCCGACCATGGGAGGATCCTACCACCGACCGGCGCAAACTACCACCGACCATGCAACCTGCCGTTAAGGCAAAGGAACCTGTCACCGACCATCGGCACCTGACGTTCTGACAAAGGAACCTTCCACCGACCACCTTTCGCACTCTGCCCTACGTAATACCTTTTCTGCCTCCAAGGTTAACGCATATTAATTGATTTCCTCTACTGCGAGTTTCCTCTTCAGCCGATCTCAATCAAGTGTGAATTGCAGATTATATGGTCTACCGTTTCTGCTGTTTTGCAGTGCTCACACAGTACTTTTTGGTGTTTATTTATTAATTGCATTTTGTTCAGCCTTATATGTCCAATCCTCTGGTCCATCTGCTTCCTCTAGATGTCCTCCCTTTGCCAACTATTTGAATTGCATAAAGATGTCTTCCTGTGTCTCTCAAGTCCCGACTGTGCTCCCATTCCTTAATAATGTTTCTTTTGATTTAGCTTCTGTTTTACTGAATAAAATGTGCTGACATTCCAAGGCTTGTATCGCTAAATTATCTGTTGTTTCTTTTCTTTTACGCCTCTGTGTGCCTGCACCCACATGAATGATACCAAAATACCCAAATGTTTAACTGCGAACAGAGTTTTGTATATTTTGCTGACTAAATCCTGCCTGCAATGAGAAGTGAATGTAATGACAATAATGCTGAACTGGAATCTGAACGGATGATGACCTTTTTGATCCAAACCTACTCCACCCACTGCAGTACTGCTAAAATGGCCAGCATCTCGACTGACAGATGGTCTGATGCTCTCTTTTTGACCTCATAACCCATGGATGGAATGGTGATAGCAAAACCGGTTCTTCCTGTATTAGGATCTTTAGATCCCTCTGTGAATGCTGGAGTAAATTATTGATATGTGGTCCGGAGTCTTTCCTCCACCACTCCTGCAATATTACAGATACCTTTTAAATGCTTGGGTTTTGTTGAAAAAAATGTATCAACTGACACTGAGGGAAATAGCCATGGTGGTGATAGCCATGTCACTCTACTGACATGGCAGAAGCACCGTTGTGGTTGGATATTTGTCTCCAGATTGGCCCTGGAGATTGGCCCAATGGTTCAATGCCTCTTACCAACTTCCCCCTCAAGAGCAGACACAGGACTTGTTCTAAAAGCACCACAACAGAGTCTCAGAGCTTGGAAACTTCCAGCTTCTGGAAAAAAAATTCCGCTGACCCAAATACAAAATAGCCACAATCAAGCACTGGTATCGTCAGAGCTATATAAATATTTTTCATTGCAGACCTGCTGGATCTCCATTCTGACCCTGTTAGACATTATTACATTTACAATATTTTTCTATTTGGTAACTATCCTCTGAATCTGATCATTCCTTGTTAAACTATCACCGAACCATACACCTAAGACTCAGTTATTCAATCTTTTGTAGCATACATCCTTGACCGAGTATCCACTCCTCTCTTTCTAGTAAACCAGAATGTCTTAGTTTTTCCAACAGTAAACTTTTATCTCGAATAAGACCATCTTCATTCACTGCTTCTTTGTGTTCCTTTTATGTTTCTCTTTATATGGGTTTAGGCCCCCCCCCCCCCCACTTTCCACAATGCGTCATCATCAGCAAATTAGCCAATATCATCCTGAACTTAAAGAAACACATAATTCATCATGATGGAGAACAGTATAAATAAAATGACTAATTACACTTCCATAATAGACGTATAGTAGCCTTATAAACATAAAACAGCCATCACTGACTTATTATTTACCTGGGCTTTTTTGATTTCTGTCTCTAAACAAAAGAGTGATTACTGCCCACCTCCAACTCACATATACCTGCTAAATATCGAGATACAAGAGTT